ACCCCGTGGAACCACTGCTCCAAAGGAGGATACAACTAAGGAACCGTCCTATTCATCATCAAGTGATGAAAGTGCTAAAGAAGAATCGGAGGAAGGAACAGATGAAGATTCGGATCCCCCGGTGTTCCGAGAAGACTATAGTGCTTTCCCTCATCTTCCTGTTTATACTATTCCACCCAAATCACCTAAGCTCAAAACCAACGCCCCTCAGAGTCAAGGCCCTGATTCGTACACGGACGTTTTCGTTGATGGAGCCTGCTGCGAAAATGGAGGATCCAGCCCAAAGGCAGGAATTGGCGTGTGGTTTGGTCCAGACAATCCTTTAAACATTTCTCGACGTTATAACGGACGTCAGACGAATAACGCTTCCGAAATCGAAGCAGCCACTATGGCAGCTCGACAGGCCAAAAAGGCGGGTATCAAAAAACTAAGGATCAAAACAGATTCCCGGTACTTGGTGCAGAGCGTTGAGGAATGGATACCGAAATGGAAACAGATCGATTGGAGGACAACAGAAAACAAACCGGTGAAGAATAGGAAGCCTTACGAACGATTAATTAAGGCTATTGAACCTCTTGACGTTGTTTGGCAGCATATCCCTGGACATAAGGGAATCATTGGCAACGAGAACGCGGATCGTCTTGCTAGAGAAGGGGCTCTGAAAAACCCAGAACCGGATTCATCGCCATCATCGGAATCGGAACCTGAAGAGTTACCTCTAGAAGAAATGATCATCGAAGGTCGACGCAAAATTGATAACAGCGACAACGAAACCAGCGAATCAGATGATCAGAAAGCGGAACAACGATCACCGTCCAACGCTAAACAACTGATCCAGAGTGTATCAGAATCTGTCAATAGATTCGATCGATCGATTGCAAACGCTGGATTAAATCTCTCCAATCCAACAAACAATACTCTACTTTGGGATTATGAAGGCCTAGACCACAGTCCACGAAGACAATATGTTTCTGACGGTGAAGAAGATCAAGAACATCTGGACTATTTAGAAACTCTTGATCCTGCCGTTGGAACCGATGACGAACTCTCCAAGAGAGTAAAGAAATTTCTGGACGACTTCAACCGGAGTAGAGCGAAAAAATTAACTGAAACAGAAGAATTTTCAAGTGAGCAACCTGAATTGCCCACCACGATGGAAGGATCACAAAAGGAAACTCCTCTAACTAGTAAATCTACCAAACCAAGGAGACAAAGTACGGTAAGATTCAAGGACATCCCAGAAGTCTTTGAACATTCTATAGATGATCAAACACTCGAGATGGAAACCGAACTATCTACTCCAGGGCCATCAACTATCCCACGTGCACAATCCACCCCGTTCACGGGATTCAAGGATGAAGGGATCAACTCCAACCGGGAGATCACTGTGAGGAACCAGGGCCTGAAACCCAGACGATTACAGGATACAGACAATGATGGCACCCTGTGCCACGGAAAAATTGAAGTACCCCCTGTTGAATTACGCGATAAAATCGTCTCCGAATTTATTCCAGTTTGATAGGTGGACACAAAGGTATAGGCAAGACCTACCGACGAATTAGAGAAAGATACTACTGGCCCCGGATGCGTGACGACGTTACCCAATTTATTCGAGGATGTAAGAGTTGTTTCGAAAACAAACTCGCTAGGGCCCGTACAAGAGAACCGATGATAATTACCGACACTCCGGCAATGCCTTTTGACAAGGTGTCTCTAGACACCGTCGGGAAATTGCGAACTACCCCAAACGGAAATCGGCACATCCTTACAATGCAGGATAATTTCTCTAAATACTGTATTGCGGTCCCCATTCCGAATATAGAGACAAAAACAATTGCCCACGCGGTAGCTACGAACTTATTCTCAGTGTTTGGAGCACCCCGTTGCATTCTAACGGATAGAGGAGCAAGTTTTGTTAGCACTTTGATGCGTAAGTTGGAAAAGATATTTGGTGTTAAACAACTTACGACATCTGGTTACCGCCCACAAACTAACGGGGCACTTGAGAGAAGTCACATCGAACAGACGGATTATATTAAACTTTACGCTAAGGATTTTGACGATTGGGATCGTTTGCTTCCGTTTGCGATGTTTAATTATAATACGTCCGTTCATGAGGCAACCAATTTTACCCCATACGAACTCGTGTTTGGACATTTGGCTAAAGCACCCAGTTCGTTACCTCAAGGGCCCGAAGTCGAAACATATGGATCCTATCTAAAAGACTTAATTACCCGGATGAACGAACTGCAAAATTTAGCTGCTAAATATCTAGTTCGATCAAAAGAACGATCAAAAGAGATCTACGATCGTAAAGCACGACCTTTGAATGCCAAAATAGGCGACAAGGTGTATGTTTTTAAAGAAGTCCGGTCAAATAAGTTTGATAAGCGAGCAGAAGGACCGTATACCCTTGTAGGATTCACACAGAATAACAATGTGATCCTCGAAACCAAAAACGGTGAAAGGTTCGCAAAACATAGGGATAAGGTCAGGATTGCCCAATTGTGAAATTCCTGACTTAATTCTAAACCCATATTAACTTGTTCTTTCTGATTCTAGATTGACGAACAAGCGATGATGACCAATTATCTAACTTTGACATGCCTCTTCCTAACCTTAGTGATGACAGCGAAGCAGAGACTCGATTCTTCGACGACCTAAGGAGCAGGCTGCAGCGACTAAAACAGCAGTGTAACCCTGACGAGGAATGGTGCAACGAATTAGTCGAATACTATGACTGGGAAGATAAATGGGAAATGGCCTCAGAACTTCAAAAACAGTTTCGAGTCCAGATCGAAGAATTGGAAAATACTAAAAAGACCTTACCAACAAAGATGACCACCCAACTACGAGCAAGGCGTTCAGTCCCACTACTGGGATTCCTGGGAAAGATTGCAGGACCAATCGTCGGCGTTTTGACCTACGATGACGGAGAAAAGTATAGTGCTGCCATCCAAGATCTCAACGAAGCCCAGGCCAACTTGTCACACCTGGTGGGAAAACAAACCCACGTAGTGAGATCACAACTCGATTCGTTGCATTCCCAGGTACAACAACATGGATCCTTTCTGAAAGAACTACAGGAACAACTCCAAGTCCTGATTGCCGTAGGGAGCACTAAATCGAAGGCCGAAATGGAAAGAAGAAATCTAACATATGCCATCGCCAAGGCGTTAAGATTGGGCCTCGACCACAACATTCAGGCCACTACCACTATGTTAGAAGCAGTTCACGAGGCTAGGAAAGGACATCTGCACCCCGGCCTCATAACATCTGAGCAATTGGAACCGATCCTGCGTGAAGTACAGGATAACCTCAAAGATGTTCAGTTTCCTTTGACTAAACCAAGAGTCAGCATCGATGAATTGATGCGCATCTCCACCATCACCATGCTGTGTGAGAACCATCAAATTAAGGTTCTCATTGACATCCCTCTCCTGGAAAAATACAACTATCAAGCCTTCAAAATCCATTCCCTTCCAACTGTACAGGAGATTTTTGAAAATAATACTGGGAGAGCATATATAAAATCCAAATTCGATTACCTTATTATTTATGAAGATCAACGAACATATCTGTTGCTAAAAGAGACGGAATGGAATGCTTGTAAGTCAACAACATCATTTCACACCTGTCTCCAAGGTGCTCCTATCTGAATGAAGCCCTACTCCTAGTTCGGCCCAACGTAGAAGCCTTTAGATTTTGTGATGTTCGAATAACTAGTGAAGCAGATTCCTACTGGAAGTCTTTAACCACCATTGGAAGTTGGATGTTTTCCTTTGCCACCCCAGAAGTGGTAACAATTGCTTGTCATTCTATGAGCCCTATCAAAATCATGCTGAGTGGAGTTGGAATCCTCAAGTTAGGTCCTAGATGTTCCCTCAAAACTAAGGACTCTATAATACCAGCCACCACTTCCCAAGATGGACAATCAGAATTCATATTTGAATCAGATCTGCATTTAAACTTGACGAAACTCTCTCCAACATTACTAAGATATAATCACCTGTTAGCAGACAAAAGAGCCTTAACGAGTTCCGCCATTAACGTTGATTCAAAATTGACCTCCTTCGAATTGAATTCCAAAACATTAGATGAACTTGAACAACAGCTACAAGAACTCGCTATGCAACAGCACCATAGAGGAAGACACTCAATGTTGATCTACGGCTCTTACGGGGCTATTTCTCTGCTGTTCATATTACTCGTTGTATACCTATGTCGAGTGCCGCTTAAAACCGGAACGTATAAGCTGTCTCAGTCCATTTTCCCCAAAACAAAAAACAAAAACATTCCAATGTCACAAAGAAGGGAACCGTTGACTGAGGTTCCAACACCTAAGAATACTACTGGACTATATGAGGATATCCCTACTACAAGTAAAGCCACTGCCAACAAGGAGGCGACCGTACAATCAAGGACAACCTCAACTGATCAAGCAACTACTCCAAAGAGGGAAATAAAGTCTGCAACACTTGAAGATAAGTCAACAACGAAAATCAGATGACTAACCGAAGGGTTAGGTACCAAGTTGCGTGGGATCCAAGTAGAAGAGACGTCATGGAGAAAGAATCACCAGTCACCTTTTCGCCATTAGTTCCTGTCAAATATGACCCCGCAAAACAACAAGGAAGATCTTCGACTTGAAGAGGTTAGTGCTCACAACGACCCAAACAGACTTTTAAAATTACTACTTGAGTTAACCTGATTATCGCAGGTTTGTCATGAAAGGAGAATATACATATAGAGAAGGAGTTTTATTTACAAATAATTATAAAAAAAAAATTTTAGTTTAAATTCTATATTTCAAAAAAAAAAATTTTGCCTAGTATAAATTCAAAAAAAAAATATTTATTAAAAGGTTTTTAGATTACTCCACTAATATAAGAACTTTGTTTTAATTGCATTAATACCTTAAAAGTTTTTTTTTCTTAATTTACATAAAAGAAAGTATTCCAATAATTCATTCATTATATAGTCTAAATATTAAAATTTTGGCCATCTCAGATGAATTAAATGTTTTATAAGATATATATTGAGGAGATTTCTTGATAGGTTATTTAAATAATAATCATTAAATTGCGTGTTAGTTTTTTTTATTATTTCTCTCATATACAACACTGAGAGCACTGAATTGAAAGAACCCATGCTTAGCTTTCTAATTTAGTTAATAGAGACTTTAACCCACAAAGGGTTCTCACAAACCATTTCTCCCTCAACTAAGTGAACGTTTATCGGACCGGGCCTCCGAGAGTTGGGTAACCGCAGAATGTATGAACGGCTCCTACATCTCCAGACATACGGGCGCAATTGACGGATTACCCTCCGTGGAAGGTCGTGACGAATGTCCGCCTAAAAAATTAAAATATACATGAAATCAATATCTTACCTACTCTACTAAATTGCCTAACACAACATAGGTATTTAATACTATACCCGAAACGGCCCCATTGTGTTGATTCGGTCCATTTCCTCTAGGAATGCACCGGTGTGATGAAAGCTGTCCCTATCCTGCCTATGTTGGAAGAGTTTTACATGGATCATTTCATGTAACAATGTTCCAATTAGCTCCTCTACAGGAAGAATACGATGAATCTCCCAGCTTATGCGAACCTCGCGCTGGGTCAAATCGGTACACCCCGAGGTCAAAGTCATCTGCCGCCCCCACGTGATTGTATATCCCGCATCTGCGAGCTCTCCATCAAAATATATTATATCCAACCGATCGTATAACCCTTTTATATCAGGCCGTCCATCGGTAGTGCGTTTGCGTTCGGAATAGGTCAATCCTGCTTCCAAGGGTAGTTGTTGAGATCGAGTTGCTCTGCCGTTCATTTTCCTTCTTCTTTCCAAAAATTAATGTTTTCTTCCTAAATACAAATAAAATGTTGAGTAAAAAAAAAATTTTTTTTTTTAAAAAAAAATTTTTTTACTTTTCTAAAATAATCTTTGTTAAGTTAACAAGGGATAACAAGGTCGAGAAAAGCAAAATTTTGCTATTAAGGTGTCTAGAAATGCTAATTCCAGAAGGGCCCACTTTAGAGCCAATTTTGGGGCATTTCCATTGGAAAATTGCTATGTTCCACCACATACCAAAAGTGTAGCTATACTAATAGGACATGATTCTAGGTATCACAAATAACAACAATATCAATATTGTTAAAGTTATTAACAATTTTTCCACTCGTGTCACTTTGAAGCCAATTTTGGGGCACTTCCGGTCAAAATTCGTAACGTGTCGGAGTAGACCTAAAGGTTGTAGTTCTGACTCCAGAAAATAATACACCACTTATCAAATAAAAATTGTGTCAATTTTGTGGAAATTAGCAACAATTCTCTCAAGTAGTGTCGTTGCCGAGCGCGCGAAGTGCTCGTCGGCAGCCGCCGCCGACCACGGGTAGCTGCCGCCTGTTGAACAGTTGCCGTGCGGTGCAAGGGAATTATGTGGCAAGCGTTTTCTAATTTTGTTTTAATAAAAATTTTAATTATTATTAATTGTTGTAAAATTTTTTTTGTTTTATTTTTTTTTCTCTTTCAATTTTATACCGTTCTCTAAATTATTTTGCCAAAAAAAAAGGGAAGTTTTTTTTTAATAATTAAAGTTTTATATATATATATGGTATTTTTGAGATTTTCAATTGCATTGCTTCGGGATGATTAAATCTTTATAAACAATTAACTGATAAACTGTTAAATGGTTGAAATTCCTTACATTCTATTAAAAAATATCTAAATTCCTTTAAGGAATTTTACGTAAAAAAATTCCATAATGAAGATTATTTTAATTAAAAAAAACGCGAACATTAATCAACAATTATTGCGAAACTAAATTCCCCTCCCTATGATAAGAAAGTCTAAATTATTTAAATTTAGAAAATCTAATGTAAAATTTAAAATTAGCACAAAGATAAGTTTTTTTTATTATTTTAAACTATAAAATAATGTAAATTGAGAATATAAATGTTAATATTTCTCATTTGTGTTTTTAAAAAAAAAGGTTATCTCAATTAAATAATTTCAACATATTTAGAATATATAGCAAATTAAAGATCAGAATCTAAAGTTACTTTTCACTCATATTTGTTTACAATACGATGTAAAAAAAAATTATTGAAATTATTAATTGAAATAGTATTTTAATGCGAGTAAAAAAAAAGAAATTTTTTTAAAACTCATCTCCGAAGCCTCGTTTTCTCAATAATAACAATATTTTTTTTGGACGTTTTAAACGTAATTTGTAATCTATGTAAAAATATTTGAAGATTAAAACTAAAATATTGTTTATAAAAGTTGCAATATTTTTAAAATTAAAAAAAAAACGAGAATTTCCTCATTAAATTTTCAATTCATCTCCAAGCTTTTATATTTGATGGGCTTCTTGTGTTGTTTTTAATTTTAATCAATGTTTCGAAATATCTAACCTTCAAAATTAAATTATTTATTCAATATAAAAAAAAGAAATAAATGAATAAATAATATTTTAATTTTTTTTTGGAAATTAAAAAAAAAAAGGTCCCTTTTCGGGAGAGTCGCCCATGTATGAATATGTGGCATTCCATGGTGAAAGGTATACCTTGGCTGCTTAAAATATTAGGTTATGTATAGAGTAGTTTTAGCTTCCTTAAAAATAAATAGTTTACTGAACGTTTGAGTATATCTTGAAGTTTGATTATCACATTGAGGAATTTTAATCAGCAGGATTTGAGAATAATAACATTTTTTAAAAAAATTCGGTTAAGATTGTAACGGGGATGGTCGGGTTTCTGCGGTAACTTGTTGTCTGTGAGGGCAGTTGGATTGTTTCGAGAAATCTTGTAAAAATATATATATATATCAAATAATCAACTTTTATCAACAAGGAAAACTGATGCATATTCTTTTTTTTTAATAATGGAATTTCTATAATATTTGAAATCAAATTTTGGTAATTGAATTTTATCAAAGTTTCTGGAAAATTATTGATTGTGTCATTCTTCTTTATATCAAGGGTCGAACCGTGAAAGTATTTAAAAATACGGACTTTACGGACCAAAAATAAAAATTACGGACCATTTACGGACCGATTATTACTTACAAAGATATAACCAGTCCTAGTCAAATAAGAGAACATTTTACTTAAAACTAGAAATTAAAATTTTCATAACTATAAATCATGAAGATATCGATCACTCCAAGTCTTCGATTCGGAGTAATCACTTTATTCATGTTTTATAATAATTAAAGATAACAAAATTCTTCTTAAGTATTAAATTATTCTCAAAGGATTTTAATAAAATTATTTAAAAAATTATTGAACAATTTATTTATTTTTGTAATTAAATAATTATTATTTTTGTAAAGTTTTCTAACAAGAATTTATTTAAAAGAATAAATTTTCTGTTAGAGTCGAATTTGAAAAATTAAATTAATTAATTAATTTAATAATATCAATTTTTAAATAAACTTTAACTTAACGTGTCCTTCAGACAAAGAAATTGTAAAGGTAGTGGATTCCCCCTCTACTTAGTTATTGATTCAACTAAGAGGTTGAGAACCCTACTCCTTGAATTTAGAGAAGATAGGATAGTTTTAGGAATAATTAAATCATAAGCAAAAATAAGATTAAACAAATAAGATATATTTTACCCAAAGAAATCCCTAATACAAGTAACTCTAAATTGGTGTGAGTAAAGAGTAATTCTATACTTGTGTATGAAAGAATAGTATGTGTATGTGTGTGAATGAGGTGAAGAGTATATGTAATTTTATACAAAATGCTTTACTCACTACTTATAAATTCTTTCCTTGAAATGTGAATCCAATGACGAATGTTTTTATCTCTCTGTCTATCTCGAAACGGTTATTCCAGAAAATTGAGGAAATACCAAATCTAGGGTCACTAGATTGATATTTTCACTGAGTACTTTAATATTCCTTTAGGAATACACAAAACTTGAGACTTAAACCTCGTAATGAAAGGTTGTCTTTACATATATTGGAATTAAAACAAATCCTTTAAATTTATTAGAATTATATTTATCTTTCTGCTGACTTTAGATTTTTTACTTTACTTTAATTATTTTTATTCTTTTGTATGAATCACAACTTCTTTATATTTATTCTTTACTCTTTTATTTTATTATTTTCTTCAAATCTCTATTCTCAATATTTATTTCATAAATTCTCTATATTTATTTTCTTTCACTTAATTTCAATATTTTATGTTTTTATTTTATCAATTCTTTCAATTATGCACTTCAATTATTTTATTTTATTCAAATATATGTATTCAATTCAACTCTTTTTTTACTTCGATTTAATTGTATTTTTCTCAAATAAATTCACTTCTTCTTGAACAAACTTTACTTAATTTCACTCTTTAAAACTTCTGAGAAATATTTCAACTTTGAACACGGCTAACTTGCCGGACTTAGAAAATGCCTGGCCCAAACTGCCGGCTACATCTACAGGTGACTACGACCTGGACTAAACTGCCTCGATTTCCCGGTGTCAATCAATTTTATTGAAAGACGATTTAGTAGGGGAAATCATAAATTAAGTTCATTGCACTTGACTGTTGTCAAGCCAATTTCTGCAACCTTGCAGATTTAGGCAATGGTGCGATCCGAGTTCAGTGACTTGGATGCACCACTCCTTATATTGGGCAATTTATTTTAATAATTTCTCAAAAGGTCAATAAGCTGTTTGTCAATGAAGAGGAATTTGTTGGGAAATACTATACTATATTTCTTAGGTTCTGTTCACCCCAAGAATTGCGAAACCCAAAGGAATGTTAAATTCAATTGAATCTTATATTTATATAAAATAGAATTTCTATGTCACTAAAAATGTCCTGGATTAAAATATTCGAAAGAGTGAATGTCCTTTTTGTGTGATTACATAGGGTTATTTTCATGTAAGCGTTTTATAACGTGTTAACAAAATATCATGTTGTGTGTAGTTTGATTTTTAAAGTATTATAAATAATCGTTTATAATGTAAAAGTTACGGAGTTCGGCCGTAACAAATGCCCCCCTTTTATTAGGCTGACGTCCCTTGGCAGCCGCTATGAATGCGTGTTGTTTATGTCGTGGTTCGGTGTTGTGTCCTCGGCATGTTGTGCTGTTGGATAACCCTTTCGAGTTTTACAAAATTATTTTCCCTTTTTGTTTTTTTTACATAAATGGTTTTCTGAAAGGTAAGTAAATTTGTTAAAAGAGTGAGAGAAGAAAAAAAATTATTAATTCTCTTGTTTAGGAAAGAAAATGTAAATTAAATAATTATATAAAAAAATTAAATTACGATAAAAAAAAATTGAGCTGTGATCTAACGTGAAAAATGTTGAATTCGCAAATCTAGTTTTTGTGTCAGTATAACTCCAAGGTAAGTAAAAAAAATAATAAAATAAAATTCTAACGGTAATTTGATATTTCCGTTTTTGACTGACATAATAAAGAAGATATAATAATAATTTCTTTTATTTCGATTTATTAAAGTTTATTGTAGCTCGTGATTGCATTAAGAAAAAGAAAAAATATATAAAAAAATTTTGTATAATTGTTACAACAAAATTGTTGTTACTGCCCCCCTTTTATATGAACTGTCGTCCCTTGGCAGTTCATAGTTATGTGTTTTGTGTTATTTTTGACATTTAAACCGTGTCATAACAAATTTTGAGGGTAGTTTTGTTATTTCTGAAGTCTGTTAGATTTATTTGTTGTAGGAACAAGAGAAAGAAAAAAAGGTTTTTCGTAAAATATTATTTTGATGGAAAATTTGATAATTAATTTTATAAAAGTTTTGTCTTTTTTTCTTAAAAGTTTTATTTCTATAAGTATAATATATATATATATATA